CTGACTTAAGCATCGGAGAGCCTTCGGCCGGCACCACACCGGTGCCCGGAGCTTGACGACTGCTTCCCCTATTTTTGTCTTCTGCAGGCTAGCCCTTATTGAAGGCCCAGACCCTTTCCCTGCTGAAGGCAAATCCCTTTTTCTCTAAGTTGACCCTCTCCGAAAAAGAGCATCAACAAAGTAGATGTTCTTAGAATCAAGAACCTAAACAACATGAAATAGTCACGAAAACTGTTATTTGTTATGACAGGAGAATTTATCAGCACCGCATAAACAAGGCTTTGAGATTTGTCCTACTTTTTTTTTTTTTAACTTCTTTAAATAAGCGTACAAAAAGAACCGTGTACCAGAGCCATAAAACTAGCATCGCAGGTTGCCCTACTCTGAAAATAACACCCGCAAAGCAATCTTGTCTAACATAAAGCATATTCAAATCCATAGATGTCCATTGTCAAGCCCCTCCGCAATATGGTCTTGCAAACTGTATACTAATCCGTAATCAGGTGAGGTTGATAGCAGCTTATCTTCTGCTTGGGCTTGGGTTTTTACCTTCATCCTTCTTGTTACCCAATGATTGACAGACCAGTAGCACCACAATAGGTAGCATCTAGTAAATTATCGCATTCATCCGTGTACATTAGAAGGCTATTGCTTAAATATCCAAATGGAATGGAAGCATTGGTAAACATCAGTGAACACAAAAATATTCCAGCAAAGTAACATATTTTACCAATAAAGCATATAGTTTAAACAAACAAAAATACGATGAAAGAAATTACAAAAACGTTGATAAACCAAAATGGCAACGTATTATGTCTTCAACGCTAGAAATCAAATGCAGAAACTAAGATTTCATCTTTAATAAACACTAGCTTCTCTCAGTCAGGCTAGGCTTCTACTTTCTCCACGTCTTCAATCAGAAGGGGCTTGGTTGGCCTTCCCAACAGGTCTGTGAACTCTTGGAATGGAGATTTGCTGAAGCGTGTCTCTTTCCAGAATTCAGGGGTCAGAAAACCGTAAGTCTTCAGGAGGCAATCGAAAGTAGCCTGCAAAAAATGCATTCACATAAATGATTAGATACAACGCAAATAATATGAGATTCAAGTAACTTAGTTGGGTCTAGTTAAATTACATCTTTAACTGAGGTATTAAACCCAAACTGAAGGGTGGTGATTATAAATTTTCTTTGTACCAAAGGCAATGGCAAATCAAGAACTAACATGACTACCAAGGAGAGCAAACTATATATCATAAAGAACAATTGACACTCAGGGTCAAGAGGAACACTACTCATTTCAATCCGGACTACATTGAGGTCAGAGTCAGCCCTAAACATAACATATTGGTTCACAGAAGTCCTATATTGAAGAAGCTCTGCAACATCACCAATCAAGTTTATATATTTATTTAATGCTCATACGTCAAAGTCGGGCTGCCAGGATCATCAGAGGGGCCAAGGGTCAGACCTTCCAAATCCACTTACCAGCCCAACCATTAAAAACTTTTCAAAGCCCGACTACGCAAAGAATTAGAATTTAGTGCTATCTTGTTAAAAAATATTAATGCTTCAACTGCACTTCATGTCAAAATGCCACTTCCATAATTCTACAACCACAACAAGCACTAAAACTTTTTGCATTCATGCAACCTCAATCATGCACATACACACAAACTAAAACTGTTATAAATTATATGCCAAATGAGAGATTATCAAGAAAATGTATTAGATCTGCACAAACCATTGATACAGCATTAACCAAAGATTTTCCACTTCTAAGAACATGCAAAACAAAATGTTAAAGATTGTTAAGAGCTTCCTGAAATGGGTAGAATTCAATTTCAACTACACAACACTCAACTCCACAAGCTCATCACATTCTTCTTTCAAATTTCATTTGCATATTTCTAAGAGTAAGAACTCTTTGTCCAAATTTTCAATAGATAATTATTAATTCAAGATTAATAGCATCACCAAAAGCTACCCAACACACTCTGATATTTATTAAGCAAACTAAACAACATCCAATAAATAATAATAATATACAAACAATCAACTAATGTGAAAACACAAAAAAAACAATGAAAATTTGGATAGACTAGATATACCTTGACAAAGTTGCCAAGAGTCTTGGTGGAGCCACGGGAGGAGGTGAAAACATCATCAATACCAGCAAACTGCAAGACCTTCTTGGGCACACGGGCAGCCACAATTCCAGCACCACGGGGAGCGGGCACCATCCTGACTGTAACAGAGCCACACTTGCCGGTCACCTTACAAGGAACCGTATGGGGCTTCCCAATCTTGTTACCCCAGTACCCTCTCCTCACCGGAATCACAGACAGCTTAGCCAATATGATCGCGCCACGTATCGCAGTGGCCACCTCCTTGCTGCACTTGACTCCGAGCCCGACGTGCCCATTGCTATCGCCGACGACAACGAAGGCTTTAAATCGGGTTCGCTGACCGGCCCGAGTCTGCTTCTGGACCGGCATAATCTTCATCACCTCATCCTTGAGGCTACCGGAGGCGACAAGAGCATCGATGATCTGGTGCTCCTTGATGGGTAGAGAGTGGAGGTAGATTTGCTCCAGGCTCTTGATCTTGCCTTCCTTCACGAGGCGGCCGAGCTTGGTCACTGGGACCCACTTCTCTTCCTCCTCGCGGCGCCCGGGGCGGCGTCCGCCCCCCCCCCCGCCCCCGGCCCCCCCCCCCCCCCCCCCCCCCCCCGCCGCACCCCCCCCCCCCCCCCTGCTGGTCTCTCTGCCATGGTTCTGTGAGAAGGGATGAGAAGGAGAAGGGAGAAGAGCGACGGCTGGACTGAGAGGGTTTAGGGTTGTGGGCGAAAGGAGATGTAGGGATTTTATATCTTCACCTTTATAGCAAAATGGCCTTTTTTTCAGGCTTAAATGACGAAATGATCCCTGTGTTTTACCTTATTGGACAATTTAGCTCCCGTGTTATTAATTTGGTCAATTTAGTCCCTGTGTTTTACCTTATTGGACAATTTAGTTCCCGTGTTATTAATCTGGTCAATTTAGTCCATGTGTTTGTATATGTTAACAAATTTAATCCTTTCCGTCAAAATTATGTTAAAACCTTAAAAAAAGATATTTAAAATTAATTTAAAAATATGTAATTAATTATAAAGATTTAAACTCAAATAATAATAATGCTAAAATGACACAGCCTCAACCTCCAATGGTATCGATTCCTGTAGGGGAAAAAAAGGATTCTTAGTCGAATTGATGCCTACTCTTTTCTTGCTTCTTCTCTCTATGTTTTAGATTTTCTCATACTCTACCCTTCATCTCTCTCTCCTCTTTGATCCATTGGCATGAATGTCGTCGACTTATTGCAGCGAGGATGATCAATTGGCGGTAGAGCCATCAAGGCTACGGTGACCGGCTATGAAGATCTTCGTGATTTGTCAAAGTGGAAGCCGAGAGAGAGAGAGAGAGAGAGAGAGAGAGAGAGAGAGAGAGAGAGAGTTTGTGTGGTGTGGGGGGGGGGTGAGGGTGGCTATGGGTTTGGGGTTGGAGTGGTGGTGGTGAGGGTGGCTGAGGCATGTGCATGAAATTTGGGAAGGTGAAATTAATATATATATATATATTTCATTTTCAGATTGAATTAAAAAATTTATAATCAATTACAGTTTTTTTAATTAATTTAAAATATTTTATATTTTATATTTTTAAGAGAATGGACCACATTGACTAACATATACAAACACAATGACCAAATTGGCCAAATTGATAACATAGGAACTAATTGGCCTATGAGATAAAACACAAGGACCATTTTAACATTTAAGCCTTTTTTTTAACCAAAAAAAAGTTAGGTGGTTGTAATCTCAATCTCTGGGAACATCCAATGGCTGAAGTAAGCCCCACCAAACGAAAGAAATAGATTTGTGCTTCTGCAGATAAATTTTTTTTTTTTCTGTGGGTTTTTCATTTTCTCAAGATTTCTCCACTGCTCTCTCTCTCTTCTTCCTCCAGTTGAGCAATCTAAACCTTGTAAACGATCCGTTAACACGACACGAATTCACACAAAAAATTCAGTATTCAGGTTTGAGTCATCGGGTCAGGTTGATAATAGGTTAACTCATTAAGCTAACGGGTCGTGTTAGTGTCATTTGTGAATCACCCGTTGACCCATTAATAGCAGGGGTATTTTTGTAATTTTACATGAGTTTCTCTTTAAAAAAGTGAAAATAATTGAATCCAAGAAGGGATTCGAACCCCTACCAACACATTTTCAAAGAAACCACCTTTACGCACTTGGCTGTATGCAATTGTTTTAATGTTGTCTAATTACTTTTTGATTTATACACATCTAGTGGTTGGTAAGTTAATATAATATTAATATGTGCAAAAAGCAGACAAGTAGAAGATTGAAGCTTCATTAACCAAAAGACCGAAACTTCATCCTCTACACTAGTCTCTTATGCTAGACAATGCTAGTTTCTTCAGTTTTGTTTCGGCGGCAGAAGGAAAAGAAAGTAGAAAAAGGAATAAGAAGAAAGAGGAATCCAACCATGTCTAGATATGAATCACGAACTCTCCCACGCTAGGTCTAGCTTCGCCTCCGTACACTCGCAAGAGCTTGTTAGAGCCATCAATCTCTTTCCCAAGGAAGATATTAACATCATCGACGGCCCATATGAAGCTTTTGTTTTGTTTGGAATTCGTTTGAATATTAGTTTATGGTTAACTTGTTGTATTGGGGAATTCCTATTTTTTGATATTTATAATTATGTATTGAGTTTAGCTCGTTGATTTTTCCACATCATGACAATGAAATTGGCTAGAGCTCTGCTCTGGTTCCCAGGAGTGTTCTCTTGCTATTTTTTTTCTAGTCTATTTATTTATTTAGTTTTTTAATTCTTAACGGGTCATGTCGTGTAATTTGCGAATTATAACGGGTTGTGTTCAGGTATGATATTTTTCACCTATTAACTAACGGGTCGTGTCGTGTCAGCCCATTAACTTAATGGGTTAACACAAACACGACTCAAAACCCACAAACACGATCCGTTTGACAGGTCTAGAGCAATCATGTCACTAATTTTTCCTCTCTCTCTTTCGTTTATTTGTTTTTGTTTTTTTGTTCCAACAAAACAGAGAAAGAAGAAAACTCAATATAGTGATCAAAGTAAACGAGTAATTGTGTACAATCTTGGTGCCATTTATTTGTATTATTTTCTGCATTTTACAATGAATGGCAAAACCAGGAATTTTTCAACGGATAGGCTAGCTATATCTATTTGCTAAAAATCTAATGATCATTGTTTTTGTACTCTTACAATTTCCATAGTATTTATATAAACAAAATATATATTAAATCATATAAACTACGTTACTTCATGACCACACTTGACACTTGCTTTTGGCAAAGTCAAAGGGACTTGTTTGATGAAATTATTGAACTTTAAAAAAAAATATATATAAAATCAATACATTAAACGCACTATAGAAGTTTGATGTTGTAATTATCATCCAAGAAAGCAAAATGATAATGGATTGAGGTTAGGGAGAATTGTTGAGATAGTTAATGAAACTGCATTGTGTTTTGTTATTGGTAGATTTGTACGGATGGAAGAGAGGAAGTGGGCACTTGTGAGCGAGTTGCTTTAATATGCTCTTGTAAATGAAGTTTTGGCAATTCCCTATGATGAAATTGGTTTTGATGGAGATCCGAATATGTATTAAGGTCATAGAATACAAATTAGTAACTTGTTCTGCATACTATATGTGCTAAAATATGAAACCTAATATGAGAATATTTGTTTTATGTGTGTTCTTCTCCTTGTAGGAGGTCATATTTATAATACAATGGAACTCTAATGGCGCTAGTTGCTAAGCGAACATTGGAAGAAGGTTGGTGGTCTGCCCCTTGCCAAAGATGTTGGAAGATGGAAGCTGTATGGCTCGGACCTAAATGATATGCCAGCTGAGCAGGAGGAGTTCTCGACCGAGCTCCCGAAGAAGAGGAAGGCTAGCAGTAAATTCGCTTGCGATGAAGCTACAGTCTCAAGATCAAGGGATTCGTCCCTTAGTGAAAGCAGCCAAGACCTTTTTTGCCACGAGCAAGTCTTCCTTAGGGGGGTTTCGTCAGCTGAGAAGGTTCCTATGGGAGTTGCTCCTGCCTCATTTGTCAGGATTAAGTGCCTCATCAGTGCGAGCAGTAAAAAGGTCAATGGCATGCAAAAGGTCCAGGATATTATGCTCAAGTCTCCACCCGAACTACCCAAAACCTGTGATATGCTTTGTAAGGAGGCCGTTGAGAAGAAAGATTTGGGTCGTCAGTGCCAATCCAAGGATCAAAATGAGATGACTGTACCTCTGCATAGCAACCATGACTCGTCTGCAAGGCCACGAGAAATTAAGCGTGGAGCTGACTTAATGTTGCAAGTTGTGACCAAGAGAGCTAAAGAGTCGTCTACTCAAACAAAGAGTCATTCAGTTACGCGAACTATCGATTCGGGAGTTGGTGATAACTCTATTGGTTATGTTGGAAACTCATGTTGAAGTCATAGAGGCATCCAAGAATGAGATTGCTGCTAATGCGTACAAGCTAGGATATTTGGACTGTATGAATTGTGCTTCTCCTTATTTCCCTCTCGAACATAAAGATGATGAGCAGCTCTATCTTGATCTGCCCCTTGCTCAAAGTGAGCAAATCAATGCTATGGATGTAGAAGCAGTTGAAGAGTAGGTAGTTGACAAAGTTGCAATGAAGGAAGACACTGCCAAATGTGTTGCAACTGATGAGGTTAGGGCAGATGCAGAAGAGCATGCAACTGGGGCTGTAGAGCAGATGGTGCTGATTGAGCAGAATGAGGCTGTTGTCTGTGTGGTTGATCAAGAGGTAGCAAAGGGTGTGATCGGCTAAGGGTCATATGCCGAAGTCCCTTAGTAGATGTGGTCCCTTTTTGCTATTTTTGAACTTTGTAATTTTTTTTTTGAATAAGTGGTCTTCAGTCGACCACCTTATTTCTTATTGAACTTGGCTGGTTGGCCACTTCGCTATGAAATTTTCAGTTGTCTTTCAAATTTCAATTCGCATTATATCTTGTGAGTGGATGTCTGTAGATATAACGCTTGAAAGAGGCTCTGTTGGAGAGAAAAAAAATTGTGAACCTCACAACATAATTTCACCTCTACTAATTAAATAATGGGTTTTTATTATTTTAGGTTCGACCCGTTCAAGACGCAAGTCTCTTAAATTATAATCCCTTCCTTCAAGGGAACACCATTTGATTCCATCATAAAGAAACAGAACATGTGTCTTTGGTTTTGCAGCTGCTCCCAAGTCCAACCTCAGGGTGCCTACGTATCTTTCGTAGGAATCAAGCCACTTGTAGTTCAAAGATTTGCAATGAGTAAGTGACTCATTGAAAAAAGGGGATTTGTATGAATTTGATTGAAAAAGTGTTTGAGTGAATTCAGCTGAATAAACTAGGGATTCGATTTTGATATGACATTGTGTTTGGGGGGCGAATCTGGTTAAAGAAATAAACCAGGGATTCTGTTCGGATTTAAGATTTGGAAATTAACGGGTAAGTGTGACCCACTAATCAAGAACTTGTGTTTGGAAATTTGAATTGAAGTTGGCATGGGTAGATGACCCATGAAACATTGGATGGTTTTGTACCATTCTTCTTATTGTCAATGTCCAAGAAAAATAATGAGCAATTTTGATTAACCTACTAATTTTTTCTAAAAATGACATTTGCAGTGACGAATTTTGGTTATGATAAATCAGGGATTCAAATTTGATTGCTGTTGCGTCTATTGGGATGCTAGACTGCCTACGTACCATTGACGGGA